GTATTCATGATTAAATGCAATAAAATAAACTAACTTAAAGGTAACAGATCTTTGTAATACTTGGTTTAATTACATAATGACTTGAATTGCTGGATGTCTGGGCCCTGAGCTGTTGGCCTGCAGTAACTATGTTCCCCGGAGCAATAACTCTGTGTTAGACTCATATCTTCATGAGAGAAAAACAAATATGCAAACATGTCCCATTTGAGTCYCTTGCTTTGTGAGTTTATGTAAATCCAAAGGAGGCCATATCAATAAAAGCCAAGTGTAACCCCCYCCCCCATTATTAGCAGATATGCTATCCCCAGCACTTTGCCAGCTCAGTAGGAAAAGGTTAAGACCACTGGAAACTGACAAAACGCCTGAAAGCCCCAYAGGTCATCAGTGAGGTACTGAAGCATTACAAAAATTAGAATCATTATAGTGTTTTAAATGCAGTTTGTGCAAATTTAGATGGAATGATAATGAGGCAAACCTCATTTTCTGGTGATTTGCTAAATCTCATGATTCAGCTATACTTGCAGCAGCAACACTGTACACACAGACCCTGCAGTGTGCTCCATTAGCCGTGTGTCTGCACATTTACAGAATGTGTTGATTTTATCACAAACCGACAAAAGGCAGAAACCGTCATCACCGGTCGAATTACAAACAATGAAAATTTATCTTGTGATCTTATATCTGGTTCAAAAAGCCCACTTCTTATAAACAACACAAATGAGGTGATTGTTTACCTAAAAAAACAAACCTTTTTTCCTCTCCTTATGTATTTGTGATGCTCTGTCAATGTAGGCGGAGTAGATGAGCAGCTTCTTYTGAATAAATAGAATTCAAAACCTTRCTTTTCTGAGTGTTTRACTCTGCGATGTTGTGTTGCATCAACTGAGCTTTAAACACCGAAAAATGCTTTTTTCTTTGTGACGTCCTTTTACCTGTCGTGGTCTCGTCCGACACCCCACACACGGATGCTGCTGATTGGTTGAGAGTGGAGCAAGCTGCGATCGTCTGGGTCGACGAGMGTCAACATGCGATCCTGAAGCACTAAAAGCATCCCTTTACCCTGTAAACAGAAGCAAACAGGGACACAATTATTAATAAAATAAAATAATCTATAACATTATAAATCAGTCTGGTCTTTATGCTTGGAGAACAGTTGAGGTGTTACCGTTTTTTTGAACAATCTTTCCAGTGTATTAAACTGATGTAGCCTATCAACTGATGTCAACATGGACAATGGTTTCTTTAATTTTTATTTTTTCATCATACTCTGTTCATCGCACCCACCTCTCCCCAGACCCCGGCTGAGTCTCGGATGTCCCTCCTGCAGTAGGACAGCTGTCGGATACAGTGGTGGACGGCCACGCTGCTCCGCCCCTCACACAGGTCTCTTTCTGCCATCTCCACCCAGCCCAGAGAGCGAACTGGAAATGACTGAAAAAAAGATCAACACAGTTTATTTAGATGACCTCTTTTCTGCCAGCATCCTTCAGGAGAGACCGTTTCAATGCCTGGGTTGAACAGAAAGTGTGTGTGCATCTACAACATCTCWTGTAAAGAGAGGACACTCTTATCAATGAGATTTAATAACTTTTTAAGGGAATGCAAGTAACGCAAAAAAAACATTCAAACATGTGGTATTTTTAAACATCTTTTTGTTGACTGTAGAGATTTGCACGTCTCTATTTAAATAAGGCATTCACTTACAGTATGAATCATTTGAAAATTTAGTTTCTTTTTCTCTATAGATGATTATTTTTGATGCTCCTATTGCTTCAATCACTAATTCTCTTACCTCTTCACTTGGCCATGCTCACTTTATTCATAGAATGCATAAAAAGTGCTGAAAAGTTTCACAAATCAAATATATGTTTCCCAAATCGCACACTTGGTTTTAAAAAAATTCTACAATCGGAATAGAATAACTT